ATTTGTGTGTGTAAACATACAGTGCATATGCGTGCACGCGCGAGCACACATACACACAGAAATGTACACACTGGGATCATGATTGGAGTTTTCAAACTGTATGGCAGGGCTGTATGAGAGAATATTCTCGGCACCAGCAATTCCTGAATTTATCTTGGTCTCACACCCCCACTGATGACAGTTTAGCAGGTGTTCTATTGCAATAAGCAGCAGTTCAGCTGTCACCTGGTAGGCGTAGGCTGGCTTATCAGCATTCAGCACGTTTTCAGTTCTATCACTCCAAGCTGCAAGAGATCACAGCCCGATTCTTTCTATTCACTTTCTCACTGAATCCCATTAATTACAACTGCACTTGGGTACAGCCTGATTCCTCCTAACACTAGGTGACAAAACTAAATTTATTCTATTTAACTATTTCCAACATTTTTTAAAATAGAAAATGGGAAAACCCAAGATACAGAAATAAGGTAATCAACCTTGTTGCTTTCAAGTGTGCCACCCAGATCCAAAAACAACCTGATGATATTAAAAGCAACTCTGCTGGCACCCAGCAACCTATTACCCCTTATATTTCTATCATTTCTATATATTGAAAAAAATACATTGCTCAGAACAATGTTCAATAAGAACAAAACAAAGGATCTAAGTTATAGGGTTTTATTGGACACAAGGATATGAAAAGACTCTGTAGTTACCTGTATATTTTAAAAACTGCGTATAGTACCTGCATTTCCTTATGATAACACATCATTAAAAAAGGCAACTGTTTTTGTGTGTATAATTTTTCCAGTACAGCTCATTCAAAGGGAGGTAGCACTTTTTTTATTATTCTACCTGCCTTTGTTTTTCAATTTAGAGATATATTGTACTTAAATCAACCAAGTGAATTAACTTCCCAAAAAGCACACAACAAATTAGTGGCTTTATCCTTTAACAGAAGTCCAACTTGCTCTTGGCTTCTTTGTAATACTGCATTTCCCGTGCACGTCTCTAAATCACACAATCATTAGCAGCAACAGCGCAGTTCATTTTTATTCAAAATATAAGCATTAACTAGTGCTATAGTTGGTCCAATTCTAATAATAGTACTGCTACTAAAAGTTAGTTTGCTTTTAGCAGGTATTCATTATAGCTGATTCAGTGATCATTTATCTTTTTATACCTACTTCAAAATACAAATCCTGGAATGTTCAAAATTATACTGGATTGTTGATAATGTGATAATTGTTGATAATCTGAGAGGCGTCAATTTAAAAATATATTTCTCTCTTCAATTACGGTGCTTGCTCAGGACCACGGAGACCCTATAAGCCAAACCAAGTTTGGCTTCTAGACCAAGGGAGGGTTTTGTTGCACATTACATGTAGAACATGTTTTATTTAAATGGCAGCAAGCATTACTATGAGCTAGGAAGTTTTCTGAGTAGTCACATGGTAATGCTTTTATTAGTAGATGTTAAGGATTGTAAATCCAAAAAGATGACAAAGCCGATAGGGAAATACAGAGTGCCCGGGCGAGGGACTAACAATAGAAGGATGGGGGTGAGGTTGGGAACGCAACTAGGTTTCATGCGATACAAAGTTAGCCAACTAAGCCCGGGGGTAAGGGGAGAGGGGAGTGGGGAAGGGGAGGGGGGGGTTTCGCGACGCTGAGAGAAAAAGAGGATAGGAACACACATACCCGTGACAATGGTCCGCAATGGTGGAAGAAGTGGTCCGAGGAAAAAGTGTCTCAGTCTATATATAGTCTATCGCAGGGGTCCTCTTCGGGTGGCGCAGGGTCGTCGTCCGTTGTTGATGAATCCTCTTGAAGCGAAGGTCCATCTGGTGCAGGGGGGGGGTTCAGGCAGTCCCCTCTGGGTCCGGTCCGGCGGCTGTTCTCCTGGCGGGGTCCGTGTACTGGCAGTGGCCAGTGATATGCTCCACGTAAATGTCGCGGGACCACCGGATGGTGTCGGACACCATGAGGCAGCGCATCAGCTTGGCGTAGCGGCGGGGGGGGGGGGGGG